ATTCCTCGTTTCCTGTCTCTATGTCTCTCTCTGTCTGTCTGGCGAGCCGAGCGCACGTATAGCAGAAAAACCTCTCCATTCTCCTCTTGGGATTTGGGGTGCACGATGCCTGGTGTGATTCCTCTCCCCTCTTTTTTTTTTTAAGAGCGATTAATTTTTGCTATAGGGCACATAAGCTCACTAGAGAGTCAGAGAGACAGAAAGTGAGAAATCACCCCCTAGGGGGATGGCCACGCTGCAATTCCTTCTCCTCCATTGTCTTGGGATTTGGGGCACAGGCACACACAATGCACCTGGCATGAGTTTCAACTGGGACTCAAACCGTAGTAGACTACATGGGAAACCAGCAACATAACCATTACGCCATCTGCTGGTCATAGCCTGGAGTGATTTTCAAGCCACTTGTTCAGGACTTGATCCCCATTTGGTCCTGTGGTAGTCCAGCACCTTAATCACCATGCCACCTGCTGGCCTCCAGTTACATCTATTTTTAATAATTTTTCTCATTTTAAATATTTTAGAAGTATATAAAAGGATTAAAGACACATGTGTCTTCACCATCTAGAAGTAACAGGTGTTAACATTTGTCTCTAGTCCTTTTCAGTTTAAGAAAACAGTAGAAACCCCCTGAGTCTGGCCCTATTAAAAGCCTAGTGGTTAAAGGAACCAGCCCCAAAGGGCTGACAGCATTTGAATCTGGGTGGCTTGAAAAAAACACTGGCTATGTTTGGATGCATGTCCAAAGTAACTGACAGGATGGAGAAATTGAAAAGGATTATAGTGTGACCACATCCCATTGGGGATTGTTTTCTCCCTGTCTTTCTCTTTGGCAAGTGCACATGCCCTCTGACAAAAAGATGAAAGAAATCTCCTCTCTGATCTCTTCAGAGACTCCTTTTCCCTCCTTGCCCTCTGTGAACCCACTTTAAAATTGGTACCTTCTCCTCTGTTTTTATACTCAACAGCTTATACATTATTTGTCTAAACATACCACTATTTTATGTTTTTTAAAACAATTTTTTAGAGAGTTTTTGCTATAGGGTATGCGCTCGCCAGAAAGAGAGAGACAAAGACAGAAAGTGAGAAACTACCCCCCGGGGGGAGGGGATGGTCATGCCGCAATCCCTTCTCCATTCTCCTCTTGGGATCTTGAGCACGCACGCACACATGCCCGGCATGAGTTTAAGCCAATGGGTCTGGGACTCGAACCATGGTCAACTATGTGGTAGTCCAATGACATAGCCATTATGCCAACTGCTGGTCCCAGGTTTTTATTTAATTTATATAGATACTGTGTATATTACTCTGAAACTTGTTATAAAATTTTCTTTTTCTGTTAAATTTATTTTTTATTGGGGCCAGAAGGTGTTATAGGGGTTAAGGTGCTATATTCTCACATGGCCAACCGTGGTTCAAGTCTCAGAAGCAATGGGCATGTATGCGTGCATGTCCAAAATCCCCCATGGAGGACGATTTCTCACTTGTCTCTCTCTCTCTCCAGTGCATACACATACCCTATGGTGGGCAAAAACCTAAAAAAAAAAATTATTAGTATATAATAGTTGTGCATATTGGCAGGGTATAATGTAATTTTTCAGTACAAGAATACAGTGTGTAGTGATTAAATCAGGATAATCAGTATGCCCATCATCTCAGTCTTGTACCACTGGGGTTTTTTTAAGAGCGATTAATTTTTGCTATAGGGCACATAAGCTCACTAGAGAGTCAGAGAGACAGAAAGTGAGAAATCACCCCCTAGGGGGATGGCCACGCTGCAATTCCTTCTCCTCCATTGTCTTGGGATTTGGGGCACAGGCACACACAATGCACCTGGCATGAGTTTCAACTGGGACTCAAACCGTAGTAGACTACATGGGAAACCAGCAACATAACCATTACGCCATCTGCTGGTCATAGCCTGGAGTGATTTTCAAGCCACTTGTTCAGGACTTGATCCCCAGTTGGTCCTGTGGTAGTCCAGCACCTTAATCACCATGCCACCTGCTGGCCTCCAGTTACATCTATTTTTAATAATTTTTCTCATTTTAAATATTTTAGAAGTATATAAAAGGATTAAAGACACATGTGTCTTCACCATCTAGAAGTAACAGGTGTTAACATTTGTCTCTAGTCCTTTTCAGTTTAAGAAAACAGTAGAAACCCCCTGAGTCTGGCCCTATTAAAAGCCTAGTGGTTAAAGGAACCAGCCCCAAAGGGCTGACAGCATTTGAATCTGGGTGGCTTGAAAAAAACACTGGCTATGTTTGGATGCATGTCCAAAGTAACTGACAGGATGGAGAAATTGAAAAGGATTATAGTGTGACCACATCCCATTGGGGATTGTTTTCTCCCTGTCTTTCTCTTTGGCAAGTGCACATGCCCTCTGACAAAAAGATGAAAGAAATCTCCTCTCTGATCTCTTCAGAGACTCCTTTTCCCTCCTTGCCCTCTGTGAACCCACTTTAAAATTGGTACCTTCTCCTCTGTTTTTATACTCAACAGCTTATACATTATTTGTCTAAACATACCACTATTTTATGTTTTTTAAAACAATTTTTTAGAGAGTTTTTGCTATAGGGTATGCGCTCGCCAGAAAGAGAGAGACAAAGACAGAAAGTGAGAAACTACCCCCCGGGGGGAGGGGATGGTCATGCCGCAATCCCTTCTCCATTCTCCTCTTGGGATCTTGAGCACGCACGCACACATGCCCGGCATGAGTTTAAGCCAATGGGTCTGGGACTCGAACCATGGTCAACTATGTGGTAGTCCAATGACATAGCCATTATGCCAACTGCTGGTCCCAGGTTTTTATTTAATTTATATAGATACTGTGTATATTACTCTGAAACTTGTTATAAAATTTTCTTTTTCTGTTAAATTTATTTTTTATTGGGGCCAGAAGGTGTTATAGGGGTTAAGGTGCTATATTCTCACATGGCCAACCGTGGTTCAAGTCTCAGAAGCAATGGGCATGTATGCGTGCATGTCCAAAATCCCCCATGGAGGACGATTTCTCACTTGTCTCTCTCTCTCTCTCCAGTGCATACACATACCCTATGGTGGGCAAAAACCTAAAAAAAAAAATTATTAGTATATAATAGTTGTGCATATTGGCAGGGTATAATGTAATTTTTCAGTACAAGAATACAGTGTGTAGTGATTAAATCAGGATAATCAGTATGCCCATCATCTCAGTCTTGTACCACTGGGGACATTTAACTTTTTTTTTTTTTTTTTTTTTTTTGAGAGATTTTCGCTATAGGGCGCGTGCGCTCGCCAGACAGACAGAGAGAGACATAGAGACAGAAAGCGAGAAATCACCCCCCAGGGGGGATGGTCACGCCGCAATCCCTTCTCCTCCATTCTCCTCTCGGGATCATGGGCACGCACGCACACGCGCCCGGCGTGAGTTTTAAGCCACCGGGTCCGGTACACGAACCGCGGTCGACTACGTGGGAATCCAGCGACATAGCCATTACGCTAACTGCTGGTTCCCACATTTTTTTTTTTTAAGGTACTCTTGAGATACACAGTGAATTGTTAATATACTCACCCCACTGTATTCTGCAACACTAGAAATTATTCTTACCTGTTAATCAACATTGCTCTACTCCTTTTCTCCAACCTTCGCAGCCTCTAGTAGTCATTCTTCACCCGTCTCCCATGAAGCCATTTTTGTCAGTTTTCATGTATGAGTGACGACATGATATCTGTCTTCTCTGTGCCTGGCTTATTTCACCAAACGTGTTGTCCTCCAGGCTGTCCTACCTACCATCAAATGACAGGATTTCATCCTTTTTCATTGCTGAATAGTACTTCCCTGTGTGTATACACTGTTCTTTACATTCGCTGGTGACACTGAGGTTGATTCCATGTCTTGGCTACTGTGAATAGTGCTATGTGCTTTTTTGGGGGTCAACACTAGGAAATCTATTTATGTTCATATTTATATATCCAGTTCATTCATTTTAACTGTTGTGTAACTAAGTTCTTATAACATACCATTTGTATGAACACAATGTACTTATTTCCCCTATTGCTAAATATGCAAATTGTTTCTAATTTTATTAGTATAAAGAAGATTCTGGGGGCTAGCCAGGAACATGATAGTTAAAGTGGCTGGACCCTACATGCCTGGCTGAGCAGTTTGAGTCCTGTACCCATCTGAAAACATACCGGGCTTGAAAAACATAGTAGGTGCATGTGCACGTGTGCCCAGAATCCCTAGAGGAGAATGGAAGAGAAGGGACTGCAGCATCGCCAACCTCCTGGGAGGTGACCTCTCACTATCTCTAGTGATTACATGTGCTCTGTAGCAAAAACTTAAAAAAATAAAAATATCTGCAATGAACAGCCCATAACAGGTATAGGAGTTTCTCTAGGCTCCACGTCTAGTTGAATCGCTGGATCACGAGGGCTGTGTTTTTTCATCATTGCCATCCTAATTAAAGTAACACTTTAGGGCTAGCAGGTAGAGTGGAAGTTAAGGTGGTTAATGGTTCAATCAATCACCTCCAAAGTGATTGCACCATTTAATATTCTTACCAGCAGGGCGTGACAGTTTCTGCGTCGCCATATCCTTGCAGATTCTTCTCACTTGATCATCTGTTGCCCAAATACACTTATCCTATCTCCAACAAGTAAAATTTTGTGGATTTTGCATTTCATTTTCAGTTGTTTTTTTCACTCCTTGAAGAATGCACTTCCCTGGGGACCAGCAGTTAGCGTAATGGCTATGTTGCTGGACTCCCACATAGTCGACCGCAGTTCGCATCCCGGACCTGGTGGCTTAAACTCACGCTAGGCGCGTGTGCGTGCATGCCCAAGATCCCAAGAGGAGAATGGAGGAGAAGGCATTGCGGGTGGCCATCCCCCCTTGGGGGTGATTTCTTACTGTCTGTCTCTCTGTCTGGCGAGCGCACACGCCCTATAGCGAAAAACCTCTTCCCCCACCCCAAAAAAATGCACTTCCCTATAACTTGACTCAGATAATCTCTAGGCAGCCTCAACAGATAGCCTCCACGTTTCCCTTATCATATGTGTACACATGGAATCCACTGGCAGCACATTATACGTTAAAGTGTTTGGTGGTTTTTTTTTTTTTTTTTTTTTTTTTTGCTGCATGGTACTGTACTCACCTGAGACAGAGAGAGAAAGTGAGAAATGACCCTCCCAGGGGAGATGGCCACACCTCAATCCCTTCTCCATTCTCCTCTCAGGATTTTGGGCGCAAAACACTCACTTTCTGTCTGTCTCTCTCGGTCTGTCTAGTGAGCACACGCGCCCTATAGCAAAAACCTCTTAAAAAAAAAAAAAAAGGTTGTGGAGAAAAGTGATTTGTTAGGTCTCTTAAGCAGTGTGGAATTATTAGGAGAGCTAGACTGAAGTGGAGAAAAATCAGGACCACTCAAAAAATGTTTCACTACATTAAGTTTTGCTTTTAAGTATGCTACTACATCAACTGTTTTAAAAAGAATTATTTAACTTTATTATTTATTTATTTTAATTTGACCAGAGATGGACAGAGAGAGAGAAAGTGAGAAAGCAAGCCACCAGGTCTGGACTCAAACCACAGTCAGCCATGTGGGAGTTCAGCACCTTTAGCCACCATGCCACCTGCTGGCCCCATAACTTTGATAAGGTACAAATGTATATTAACATCCTGCCTCTGCAGGCCTAGGTAGGTAGTTTCAGATAACCTGTTTTTCTACCTCCCCTCAGCACCAAGAGCACTCCCCTCAGCCTGAGTGCACAGAACTTCAGTACTGCTTGGACACAGTACACGTGTGTGCATTCGTCTGTTTACTTGGTGTAACTAAGCTTGTGTGTGCAATATGGTTATAGGAGAGAGTACATTTAGTACATTTGCTCCTCAGTCTCTTTGGATTTGGGAAAAAACAACTATCTGGTTTCCAATTTAACATTTCTGGCCGTCAGGAACTAATGTTTCATGCCATTTCTGTGTTGCAGGACTTTCCATGCGTAGAAAGCCACTCTGTAGATCCCATTCACTCTCTCCATCTCCACTTAACAAACACAGACAACTCCACGTGGATAGAAAAAGGCAACGCAAGCCAAAAGAAACAGATATCCGCCAATTCCGAGCAAAGGTACTTCCCCACCGTGTGACTACCACTGGGCAGAAGGCAGTGGCACCTCCTCAGCCAGGCACTACAGTGACTTCTATTGATTAAAAGCTTAAAATGCATTTAATACTTCTGAGCTAATTAGATGATAGAGAATTACATAATGTAGCTCTGTCTCCCTTAGGGAACATAAAATTACACTCAGGAAACTCTTTAATAACCTGGTCAAATATAGCTTGGATTAAGAAAGCGGTCAGGGCCAGTAGGTGCCATGGACAGTAAAGTGACTCGATCTCACATGGCCAACATCACAGTTTGAATCCCAGACCTAGTGGCTTGAGAAACATTCCAGGCACGTGTGCATGCATACCCCAAATCCTGAAAAGAGATGGAGGAGAAGGAACTGCAGTGTGGCCATTTCCCCAGGGGATGATTTCTCACTTTCCCTTTCCCTCTCCAGTGTGTATATAAGTCCTGTGGCAAAACTAATAGACACACACACACACACACAAAATGGTGAAGAATGGAGACAAATTCAGATATTTTATAGTAGTTACTTACACTAAGTTTGTAACTTGGCATGTAAATGCCACTCAAGGGAGTATTAAAATAATTATAAAAACTGACAAAAACGTATTATGTACAATTTTAATTTATGTTCACATCTCTTAAAATAATACATATTTATGAAACAGAGCCTGAAAAGAATTTTTTTAAAATAACTGAATGAGCTTGAAATTTTAGGAGTGGCAGAATCATCAGTGAATATTTCCCTTCATTTTGATTTATTATGTGTTTAATAAGTATAATATCACATGACCTTTCCCTCTAGGCATTAACGGAAGCATTTGAAAGGGAACTAAGAAGAAATAAAGTTCAAGAGAACATTGCGCCTCTAGAGATAAATGACGAGGAGAACACAGTGGGTAAAAGTCTTCCCTGTAATAAATGCTGTTTGATCAGATCAGAGATGATCTTTTTAACAGAAAAAAGGACCAGCGAGGCCTTGATCACTACTAGCTCTTTAGGACAAGGCAGGATTTCATTTCATGATACAGGATTTTCTTGTACTTCTACGTATGTTAGTCAAGTCACTAAACTATGGCAAGACATGGTACCAAAGAAAAACTAGTGTCACCTTCTTGCCTAGAACTTCCATCAGTGTGCGAGGGTTTTTACTGCTTAGCACTTCACCAAGGGTTTAGAAATTAGTCACAGTGGGCCAGCCAGTGGTGTGGTAGTTAAGGCAGCTGGGTCACACATGGCTAACTGTGCAGTTCAAGTCCCGGCCAGTGGCTTGAAAATCACACTGTGTACCCAAAATCCAGGGAGGGGAATGGAAGACAGGGATCGCAGCATGGCCAGCCTGCCTGCGGGAATGATTTCTCACTTTCCCTCTCTCTATTTCTCTCTGATGAGTGTACATACCTTAAAGCAAATGTTCATAAAAAATTAGGCTGCCAAAGTTAAAGGGGAGAGGGAGTAACAGAACAGGAAAATCCTAACTGTTCTATACCTGGTCATAAGAAACCCAAAGCATAAGTTTTCATTATCTTTCTAAAGGATGGTTATAGAAATCAAGTGAAAGTGTTGGGGAGGGACCAGCAGTTAGCGTAATGGCTATGTCGCTGGAGTCCCATGTAGCTGACTGCGGTACGAGTCCCAGACCTGGTGGCTTAAAACTCATGCTGGGCGCATGTGCGTGTGTGCCCAAGACCCCAAGAGGAGAATGAAGGAGAAGGGACTGCAGCGTGGCCATCCCCCCCGGGGGGTGATTTCTCACTTTCTGTCTCTCTGTCTGTCTCTGTCTTTCTGGCAAGTGCACACACCCTATAGCAAAAACGTCTCCAAAAAAAAATAAGTGTCGCGGAAATGCTTGAACTGAAACAGTGAGGACAAAACAGGTAAAAGTACAACTAAGCACACAGCATAGTTGCTGAAGAATGTTTTCATTCTACTAGGAAAAAGTCATTATAAAAACAAGTACATCAAACATTAGTAGTGGTTGAATTTAGGGTGTGGGACTATGGTGCCTAAAACTTGAAAAAGATTGGATGCTTTTTTGGATTCCAAAGGGTGCCAGAGGCCCAAAGATGCCTTTAACATATAGCCAATGAATACTAACCAGATTTTAGAAATTTAAAGTCAGGCGGTTTGGCTGAGGATTGGCTAGCTATTTTTATCAATATGTCATATTAAGGATATTATATGAAAGAGTGGTTAGACTTCTCTCTTATTTCTATTCTGCTTTATGTCTGCTTCTAAGGAAAAAACGTACAGAGAAGTTGTTCATGAAGAAACTCCAAAACGAACTCAGCCTTGGAAGATTTACTCTAGAAAACCCACAGCTCACAGTCCAAAAGGTGGCTTCCTAAAGCCAAATAAAGCCATTCCAAGTAAGAGCCACAAAACCATACTTTGTGGAAAGCTGGCAGCCTTTGAAAGTGTGTGCTACATTCCAGGGACACAGCACCAGACACTCACATCCACCAGTTAGCTGGAGAAAGTGCCTGCCTTTATCACTGCCATATGGCTGGTTTTTTATAAAGAGAGTTAAAACTCTTCAATAAGGAAGGACCCTAGGGAGGCCAACAGACCAACACCAAAGGAACGGCAGGGCTCCTCCTACTGCTCCAGTGTTAGCCTTACCGTCACTCGCTCTCCGGCTGTCTTCTCTTATTTCTGGGACATCGTTAGAATGAGAGGGATGCTCCCAGGCAAGCAGAAGGCCTGTCCAGTTGCTGGGTACTGACAGTTGGTGCCAGTAAGTGTTAAGGGTCACGTTACAAGGAAACAAGCATGTGAAATGCCAGGCTTCCAGCTGTATCCCCGAGACTCCTGGCCTTCCAACTTCATCGCAGTGGGTAGAGGTGTTTTCTTCTAAGCACATGCCTGCCAGGAGGGCTAAGGAGTCCCCATTGCAATACCACCCACAGGCATGGAGGCAGCCACACAGTCAGGATGGACTCTCAGGACCAGCATGTCACTAGTAAACTGCTGAGCTTTCATCCTTACTAGTAGTGGCAACATCTCATCAAAGAAACGCAAAAATAATATGTACACTTGGAACTGCTCTTTTTTGGTACTTTTTAAAATCTTATTTACATTTTAAGTGTTGTATGTCTTTGTGGGATACAGTATGATTTTTCAAAGCAGGCATGCCATGTGGACTTGCTCTTTTCAGATCACTTAGATAAGCTGTGATCTACTGAGCAGGTTCAGAGCTCTCATTGGCAAGTCTCACATTAAAAGCATCTTGTTTTTACCTTGCAGTGAAAGTAAATGAACACAGTCTCCTGCCCCTTATGCTGGAGCAGTTCCCCTTTCTGTATGTTTCTGGCCCGACACTAAGCAAAATGTGGAAACAGCAGATTGCACAGGTAGAACAGCTCCACAGAGATGCAGCCAGAGAAAATCGATCAAAGAAGAAACTCCAGGATGAAGTAAGTTCCTGCCAGTTTAAGGCTAGGAATATCAGCCAGCACAGGAGGGGCTCGTCCTTGCAACTTGTGAGCAGCAGCATTAACCTGTTTGCCTTTTGTGCCTGTCTCCCCTTTAAAGATAGAAGAAGCCCTTAGACGGCATGACCTCCTCACTGCACTCGTCAAGAAGGAATATGAACACAACAAGAGACTGGTATGTCGGCCAAGATTGGGGGGGAAGGCAGAGACAAGGGCTGGAGAGTAGGAAAGCACCCCCTAAGGAGTCCTTTTCTCCATTTCTGATTTCAGGATTGAGTACACACACACACACACACGTGTGCATGCACATTTGTGTGCCTGGCATATTTTTCAAGCCACCAGGACTGAAAGCGCACAGTCAGCTATGTGGGATCCAGCCACCTTAACCACTAGGCCACCGCTGGCCCTCAGTAGTGTTTATAGTAATGTATTATTGGGTTGTCAGGAAAGTCATGACACATTTTCGTATAAAAAAACACATCATGACTTTCCTGAGAACCTAATATTAAAGAAGATGTTTCCTATGAAATCAAAATCATGAGGCTTTGAGATGTTGAGTAACTCGCCCTGGCTCGCACCTTGATAAGCGAGTTTTTCGCCTAGGTCTGTCTGGACTTCCATAATCCTGTGCAAGTGCCAGGTGGCTTGTACTGCAGAGCTTTCTGCCCTCCCATCTTGTTCAGGTCCAGGAAGATGGCTGGGGTGTATTACCAGCCTCCCCTATAATTTGGATGGGGAATTACAGTTAGCATGCTATCCCCTATTGAGTATAACAAAGCGGAGAGTTCAGAGGCAATCTGCAAAAGGAAGAGATTTTAAAACTTGGTTGAAGGCCGGCTAGTGGTTGAAACAGCTGGCTCCCACATGGCTGATTGTGCTGGTTCAAGTCCCAGATCTGGCAACCTGAGAAAATCTGTGAAAGGAAGAAGTAGAGAAGTGACTGTGGTGTGACCATGCCCCTTGAGAGGTGCTGTCACCTTCCCACTCTCCCACTCTCAAGCAAACACAAACAGCCCTCTGGCAAATTAAGAGGAAAAAAAGAAAGTACTCTTGGCAACGTGAGCTTTGCTTGAGAGTCTGAGTGCCATTTGTTACTTTTTTTTGGAGAGATTTTCGCTATAGGGCTTGTGCGCTCGCTAGACAGAGACAGAAAGCGAGAAATCACCCCCCAGGGGGGATGGTCACGCCGCAATCCCTTCTCCTCCATTCTCCTCTCGGGATCTTGGGCACGCACGCACATGCGCCCGGTGTGAGTTTTAAGCCACTGGGCCTGGGACGCAAACCGCGGTAGACTACGTGGGAGTCCAGCAACATAGCCATTACGCTAACAGCTGGTTCCCCCATTTGTTACTCTTTAAACTAGGAGAATGCAGAAGTAAGATCCTCAGTTCTACTTGGAGCTCTGAGGGTCGCTGCTACCCTCAAGCAGGGCACCTTTTTGGCACTGCACTTCAGGTTGAAGGGTTGAAAGGGCCTTGGGGCAGGTCTTTCACACTTTCCCCCAGCAGCAGGCCCTTGGCCTCTCCATAGCTGCCTTACTGCTTGAAGCTGCTGTTAGGGGAGGGAGAACACTTATGTCTGCCTTCCTCTTTTTCTTACCCCTTTTCCCTTCTATTAGCAAGACTTCAAGGACCGTATTCATAGACAGAGGTTGACCCAATCAAAGATCAAAGAAAATCGTCAGCAAATTGCTCGTGCCCGGAAATATTATGATGATTATAGAGTTCAGCTGCGTGCAAAAATGATGAGAATGAGGACCCGGGAAGAAATGGTAAATACGGTTTTTCTATAGTTTGAATCACCTTCTTTGTCTCTCTTATTCCAATTTGAATGCAGAATCCAAATGTGGGTCCTAAGATGCTAGCCATAAGTCTGTACTTGTCCACACTCATTTTATTATCCCAGTCTGTGTTCACCTAGTCTCAGTCTCCATGGCCTCATCTCAACATAAATTCTTAATTCCCTCTGACCAGCCTCTAAACACAGGTATCCCTCCAGTACAACTGGGTTAGGGGTTTGGGAGCATGTCATTAGGTGTGATTCCATGACTTAGGATCCCACATAAAATCAGGAGTAGTGTATGACAGCTGGGCCATGAAGGGTTTTCACAAAGTATTTGCCATCTCATCCTAATTAAGCTGTAATGATTACACAAAAAGTTCATCTCTACAGTAAAAATGTACTGTAAAGTACAATAATTACAGTTAACAGGACTGAATACTCAGACATGTCTAGAGGGAGGTAGTATTGAGGCTTTGAGGGTAAGTAATTTGCCCAGGGTAATGCAGCTGATGAATGCCTGGCTGGCAGAACCCACTCTTCTGTCAAGAATGATTGTTAGTGAAGGGAGGACAAGGGGTATATCCAGGGCCTTAGAACAAGTACCTACCCAAATGTCACCACCTCGTCCTGTGTCGGTACAGCGTTTGTTTCTGCTCTGGGGTTCTGCCCTACATACATGGCTGTTTGAGAATTCTTTTTCTGAAAGCAATAAAGAATCTTTGTGATAACATGAGAAGAGGCTGAACACCATCAGTCATTAGGGAAATACAGATGGAAACCACAAGCTGGCAGTTCCGCAGAAGCTTACCTAACGGTCCTACAGGCTCACTCATATTACCCACACTTCCACTCCTGGATGTATGTCCGCACAAACACCTGCAGCCACGTGTTCACAGCAGCATTATGTATAACAGCCACACTACAGTGTCCATCAGCTGATGAGTGGATCAACAGTGTGTATTTACACAGTAATTATTTGGCAGTAAAAAGTAATGAAGTATTGATACATGCTACATTATGAACCCTGAGGACTTATCCTAAATGAAAGCAGCCAGATGCAAAGGGCCATTAGTATCTGAAATGTCCAGAGTAGACAAACCCATTAGGGATGAAAGTATAGGTGAGTGGTTGTCAGGGTCTGCAGAGAGGGGAGAATGGAATGATGGAAATGCCCTGGAACTAGCAATGATAGTTTCATAACTCTGAACTATGAAAATTATGAATTAAGGGGAAATTTTATGATTTGTGGGACCAGCAGTTGGTGTAACAGCTATGTCACTGGACTCCCTTGTAGTCGACCGTGGTTTGAGTCCCGGACCCAGTGGCTTAAACTCACGCTGGGAACGCGTGCGTGCGTGCCCAGAATCCTGAGGGGAGAACGGAGGAGGAGAAATGGCCATCCCCTCAGGGGGTGATTTCTCACTTTTCGTCTCTCTCTTTCTGACGAGCGGATATACCCTAAAGCAAAAACCTCTCCAAAAAAAAAATTGTGGTTTGTGTACAAAAATGAGTAAAAAGAGTATTTACCTCTCACTGGGCAAGTGATTACATTCCTCAATGAAAATTATGATTAAATGACTGACAGATATTTAAGAAACTGTTTGAAGAAGGCTTACAAATTCAGAAGCAAAGGTTACGAGACCTAAGAAACTATGCCAAAGAAAAGCGAGATGAACAGAAGAGGCAGCACCAGAATGAACTGGACTCGATGGAGAACTACTATAAGGACCAGGTGGGCTCACTGTCACTTCCTTTACTGTATGACGACCTTTCCTCTGTCAGACGGCAACGTGGCTGACCCAAAAGCTCCCTGTATTAACTCAGAACTTTGCATTCTGTAGGTTAGACCCATATTCAAGATAAAGCACTTGGCCATCGTGTAGAATGCCCCATTTCAGTTAAAACAGACTCTTTGAGCCTACAGATGTGTGTAGTAATTGTTACATTTGGACTACAAACATTAAACAGAAAATTTGTTTTCTTCTTCTCTACAGTTTTCATTGCTGGCAGAAGCCATATCACAGGAACGGCAAGAACTCAAAGCGAGAGAGAGATCCCAGGCCCAGGTAATAACGGCACTAGGGGGGCTGAAATAAAGACAAGTGCTGGCAAAGGCACAGAGCAGTTGGAGCCCACACGCCCGGTGACAGAATTTAGTACAGCAAGAGCATGTTTACATTCTTAGAAAACAAAAAATAACTATTATACTTCCTAAGAGAATGGAGAAAAAAATACTAATAAAGTCCAGCTGTGACCAGGCATTTATGGCTGCGTTTAACCTGTTCAGGCCTCTGTAAGGGCTGCTGCTAAATGATTAACATTATCCGAGGAGCTTGAACTGGAATAAAACAGGGAATGAAAATAGATCAGGGCCTGGATCAGTGATGTGACCAGCAGGATGACACAGATTCTCTTTTAGATGTTACATAAGGTGAAAAGAGAGCTGCGAGCCAAGATGGAGAAAGAAATTCAGCAACTGCAGTACATAATAACACAGAACGACGACGACGCTTTCTTCCGGGAGTTGGAGGCTGAGCGCTTCCGATCGCGGCTTCAGCTGGCTTCTTTTCAGTACAGTAAAAACCCGTTTCCATGAGGCAAGACCCCACAGGTACAGTTTCTGTAGGCCCTTCCCGGGACAGAGCTAAAACTGAGCCAGTAAACAGTCTAAAACAGAAGAATCATTTTATCTATGTATTCCTTCCTTATAATACTTTTAAATAATTTTTAAAATAAAAATTGCTTTATAAAAACTTACTGCTTTTAAATTTATGACCTAAAACTTGAAAGGGGGAACAAAGGCACACATTCTTTGTTAGTCTTAATCTGTGCTAGAGTAACTAACATGCCTTGAATGATCAGCCAGCCCCGATGTATATTATTATTGCTGAAAGTCAACAAAAATACTTAAAAAAAAAAAAAAAAAAAGGCATGCACATACACTTGAGTACAAAGATTAAAAGTCACTAATTCACAGGAGAGTTAGAAACACAGCTGGTCATCAGAGGTGGGCCTTAGGGCTGAACCTTAACACCACTGGAAGGGACAGAACGGCAACATTACAGCTTCTGTGGTTGGTAGAAGACAGCAGCAAGGGGAGGCACAGGGTGTGGAGCCAACAGAAGCACTGGTGATCACAGATGGGAAGGCGACATGATGGCTAGAAATGGGCGAGAGTATACCAACCCCATCTCTGGTATGGGCTGACAGGAAACAAAACCCCTTGAGGGAACATCTTAGAGAAGGTGGCTTTAGTGACAGCCAGGAGCTGGAGGGCCACTTCAGGGCAGCTTGAAGATCTGGGGTGCCAGGATGGGTCTGGGGGAGCAGAAATTCCCATTAGGGCAGGTAGAGAATAGCATGGGGAGGGGTTGGCCAACCAGGCCGTGACAGGAAGAGGTCCTAGAGGAATGGCAGGCAGCTGGTCGTAAGTGCTGCCCCTTGGGATGCGGCTGACAGAAGGTTGGCAACCTTGTAGGAAGGACTTCCTGGGGAAGAGACATGGTGGACTGGCCAAGTTGAGAAGAGACTTGAAGACAACTGCTGGGAGTGGAATTATCCTTACATCAGTTCTATAGAGAAAAGGTCTAGAAGGCTATTCCTAAGCCATACCAGTAGGTGTCACTGTGTGTAGATTATATATACTTAACTTTCTTTGCTTAATATACTTCACTAACTACTTGAATTTGTTCAAAGAAGCCTGCCATGGGCCAGCATGGTATTTAAGGGAAATTAATGGTCTGAAAAGTCCTTCCAGCTTCACCTTCACTCATGGGCTGAAAGAAGACTATAAGTATATAACTAGGTAGGAGAACCCCTCAGAAGGGGACTCTCATATGGCCACAGTTCAAGTCCCAGACCCAGTGGCTTGAAAAATCATGCCAGGCACATGCGTGTGCATGCCCAAAATCCCAATAAGGGAATGGAGAGGGGGTTATGGTATGGCCAGTGATTTCTCACTTTCCCTGTCTTTCTCTTTGGCAAGTGCATGCACCCTTTAGCACAAACCTAAAAAGGCCCAACAGTGCTGTTATAAATTTTTTTAATGTAACTTTTTTTTGAGTTTTGCTTTATGACTTGCCAGAAAGAGAGAAGTGGCGAGAAATCACCCCCCATGGGGATGGCCACATCACAATCCATTCTCTTCCATTCTCTAGGGATCTTGGGCACCCATGCACACATGCCCAGTGTGAGTTTCAAGCCGCCAGGTTTGGGACTTGAACCATAGTTGCCCATGTGGGAGTCCAGTGCCCTAACCACTATACCACCTGCTGGCCCTAAATGTAACATTTTAGGGAGAATCTTAAGCTGCTACTTTGGTGACTGGGTGGGACCTGGTGCTCTTGACAAAGGTAAGGAACAACTACGGCATTCAGAAAGGAGAATGTGAAGATTCAATCAGGGAAGATAAAGGGTAGCTCAGCAAAGACTGGGAAATGAGGGGAGACAAAATTTTAAATGCCAGCATGTTTTTGGAAAAAAGTGAATGAAGCAGTGGCTAACCAGCAAGTGGAGGATGGTGGGAGTCAAGTGCTGTGGGAGGGAATGGCCTTGAAGTAAACCATCTGCCCAGAACCACCCAGAAAGGTGCATCACAATCGTGCACCTGAACAAACACGTGTGTGTGCACACGTGTGGGCGAGGGTGTTGGAGTGAGGTGCATGCTGTGGGAACTCAGTCCTTAACCATCAATAGGGAAGTGCCCAGCTGTGCTGGACATTGATAGAGGTACTAGTAAGAGCAGCAAGTTGTTTAGGAATGTGGGGTAAACACCAGAAGAGCTGAGACTTGAGAATAGTGGCCACCTCCAGAATCACGACTAAACGGGACGGGAAGGGTGATGCGAGTGCGTTAAGCATCGCCACGTATGTGCCTGTGCTAACTATGTCTAACTGGACATGCGCTGCTGTATCACAGGAGGCACTGGAGATGCTGCCTCAACTCGGGTGGGGAGAGAAAGGAAGCAGCAGTGCTGAAGTACAGGCTTTGGTGAAGGGGGTGCTGGGGGAGTAGAGGAGAGTGGTTTGCAATAGGAAGAGGCCTTGCGATGAAAAGCTGGTGGAGGTTCCAGGGAGGGAAGAAGGAGGGCAGTGTCAGATGCAAGACTGAACGGCCCTTCTTTGACCTAAATCAGAGGAGGAATCCAAGAGTGGGGATTAGGTTGCAGGTCACAGAGGGGTCTGTTAAGAGTCACATTTATTATCTATTTACCTTTTCATTTTTTAAAGAGATCTTTGCTACAGGGTGCATGCACTCACCAGAGACAGACAGCAAGAAAATCACTCCCCGTCCCCAGGGGGGATGGCCACACTGCAATCCCTTCTCCTCCATTCTCCTCGTGGGATTTTGGGCACACACGCACACATGCCTGGCATGAGTTTCAGGCTGCTGGGTCCAGGTCTCAAACAGTGGTCGACTATGTGGGAGTCCAGCAATGTAACCATTACACCATCTGTTGGTTCCCAGAGCCACATTTAAACAAACATGCTGAAAAATATGTCCCGTCTGGCCTTTCAAGCCACCCAAGCCATCATATATTCAAAAATATGAATAGTTTATTTTTGGTTTAAGAAACACTAAACTTGAGGCCAGTCGTGGTGGCACAGAGCAACACAGCAGGTTCCTGTCCCGGGACCTCCCTGAGCACACTGGGCAGGCACAGGTCTGTGATCCTGGCTGGCTGGGGTGACTTGGGGCCTGAAGACTCTTGGGGTGACCCCCTTTCTCTCTCCCTCATGAAAGAAATAATAATGATTAAAAAAAATTCTACTTGAACTTTAAAACTGTCGTTTTGGTCCTACCTTATTGAATTTTTATCCACTTCTTTTCTTATAAGGGTTCTCTACCTTTTTGGCACACCATTGCACCATAATTGTCTCTGGGAAGTGAATGGTCTGAAGAGTGTTGTGTCCTTCCATCTTCACCTTCACTCACTCCCAGCTGCTAGGCTGCAAGTCAGAAGACTAAGAAGAAAAATGTACCTAGGTAGGAAAACCCCTCAGAAGCTTCCTTACACACAGCCATGGACTCTACTAGTATCTCTACCTTTGTCACTAGGACTGTAAGGGAGACAGAAGTAGGGTCTGTATCTCACATTAGAGACTAACTGGTATCCTAGATAAATCCTCCTCAAACATCCACAAAAGGTATGCTAGCCAGCCAACAGGAGAACACTGCCACTTTGGAAATGCAGCTTTCTGTCCCAAAGCAGAGATGGTAAGACACTAGCGGTTGTATAATGAACACAAATACACAAGAAAAGAGCTAGCTTTCCTTAAGAGGGTGGCATGAAGAGGGGCCTGGAGACTTCTTTGCTTTGGAGCAAAAACAATTTTTTAAAAGTAATTATTTTATTTTGTTACTATTTTTAAATTTCACCCGGGGGGGGGAGGGGGAGGTGAGAAAGCAAGCCGCCAGGTCTAGGACTCAAACCGTAGTCTGCCACGTGTAAGTCAGGTGTGCGGTAACCACCACACCACCTGCCAGCCCCCCAAAACAATTGTTTTACAAACCAAGTCTGCGTTGCTGAGGTGAGGTACGTAACCATAGCTCCCATTGTGACTACCTGCTGCACGTGGTCGAGCTGTGAGCCCCGAGTTTGAATCTGGCCTTGCCATCGCAGTCTAGGAGCCTTACTGTGGAAGGGCAGTGTCGCAACAGCCTTGGCTTAAAGCTGCATGGCCAGCAGTTAGGACAGCCTGCAACAGAGTAGGAAGTAGTACAGCAAATATTGTTGAATGAAAGAGAACAGGTCACTCTTAGGGCAAATACCTGTTCAGTAAAATAAAACTTAACTTTAAAATCTGGTTTGTCAGGGGCCAGCAGGTGGCGTGGTGGTTAAGGTGCTAGACTCTCACATGGCCAACCATGGTTTGAGTCCTAGACCTGGCAGCTTGTGCACACACATGCGTGCTCTCTGTCTTTCCCTCTAGTTAGTGCATATGCCCTAGAGCAAATAAAAAGAATAATAACTATTTTTAGGGGACCAGCAGGTGGCTTGGTGGCTAAGGTGCTGGATACTCCCACATGGCCAACCATGGTTTGAGTCCTAGACCTGGTGGCTTGCTTTCTCAATCTCTCACTTTCTCTCTCTCTCTGTGTCTCTCTCTGGTCAAATTAAAATAAATGAATGAATAAATAAAATTAAATAAATAGTTCTTTAAAGACATATTTTTAAAAGAAATCCACTTTGTCTACTTTGCTAAGAATGTTATCATAGGAAGGTAGTCTCTTTGTAATCACCTCCTCTATCCTGTTACTGGTTCTTGTTCTGTTGCCTATGTCCTAGGATGAGCATTTTAGATAAAGAGTACAAATAAATTCAGTGGGTAATGTGGTTAACCTCCATTATAACGAAGAGGTAAACTTTTCAGGTTACTACACAGCAAAAAAATTCCAACCACACATTAGTCAAATCAAACGTGTAGGTAATTTACAGACTGTATCACTAAAAATTGTTAATGTACTAAAACTTTACAAAGTCCAGATAAAATCAGTAAGCATGGCAATGTGAAACAAAGCAAAATAATAATAATAAATGTCAAAAGAACAATAAGGAAGGGCAACCTGCCTACTCTTTGCCCCTCAGTGCACTGCTATTTAGCACTGACTTTCTCAGAGACTTAACCATATCTGGATTAGGAAAAAAAATGCATTTCTGTTTTCCACCCATATATTTAGCTACATTTATCTTTCAGCATTTACAGAGCTGAGGATATTAAAGCCCAACTTCTAGGAAAATAATATAACTGATTTCTATTCATTTTGAGGATTTTACTGCTCAACGCCAAGTTAGGCTTGGCAAATATGAGACCCCTCCCATATCTCTGCCCTCTGGATGTGGGGGGCAGCCCCTGAGAGCCACTACCCACCTGACTGCATTGCCTCGTTGGGAGCAGACGCACACCTTGCTCCGCCTGGAGACTGACAGGGTCCTGAGCTCTGTGAGGCGCTGTGGAGTGATGGGCATCCACAGAGGAAAGTGTGTGTTCTCCTTATACTCATGACTCTGGGACTGCCACCCTCTACCAAGACAACCATGCTTTTTTTTTTTTTCCAAAACAACTCATTGCAAACTCGATATTCTTTAAAAACATTGATGCTGTGACTGTGCAAACAGCATTCATTTTATTGCTCCACTTCAGCATGGGCACATACAGTTAATTTTTAAAAACCATTTATACAGATGTTATTAATAAAGCTCATGTAACAACCGAGTGAAAATACAAAGAATATCAAAGCTAAAACACTCTGCAATAAATACAAATACAAAGTAAATGATAAAACTTTGTTTTTAAAGTCAGTTGGAGAGGAGGAAGAATATTACATAGAGTGAACTAATTACATCTAGAAATAAAACGACTCAGCATTTGGTACAATCATCATCCTAACATGCGACTGTGAAATACCCCAAGGGCACCATGACTGTAGGCCGCAGCTTCCAAACGGAAGCAGGAGGAGCTGCTCTGTCCCACGAAGGACAGCCGTGATCTCTAACTCCCACCCGTGCCATCAGGTTGATGCACCGGATGTTCTAAGCAGATTTAGTGTTGTAAAATAAAGTGAATTACATTTTATTTCAAAAAGAAGAGAAACTTGTGCTCTGAACTGTAAATATAAGAACAAAGACTTGGTAAAAAATAAGCCCATTTGGGGCAACAAACTATGTGCAAAACAAAAATGTACACAGCGCTATTTAAAAACTTTACACCCGGAAATAAAGCTGACACAAAACTCACCTCTGTACTGCAAATGAGCTCTACAAAGTAATCACCATTTGTGATTAAGCAACCATGATGGAAAGGCAATAGTATGGACGGTGACATCACATGTCTGAAATAACACAACTAGAGGAAGGACAAAAAAGAGTTAAGAGGGATGCGAGGGAATAAATATTCACATTAAACACGAGGTGCGAGTCCACGGTTCAATGACGCATCGGCCTGGGGGTGGTTGTCTCCTAGCACCTATTTGGAAGTAATCAGGTAATGTAATTTTGAAACTGAAATCTAAGTCAGGTTTTCATATATCATGTTGGTGATACCACAGACTGTTATGGAACATAATTTCTTTTAAAGTTCTATTAAGTCATTATACATTTACAAAGGCACTCAGAAAGCGCTGGTATCTGCCTGCTTTATATTGGACATGACAACAACTGGTAATAGCATTGCATTACTCCTGCAGATCCCTGTCAGTTCTGATTTCTGTAAAGTGTCCTTCATGTTCTTCCTTACTGACGGATTTTAAGAGGCCCAATACAAATGGCACTAGTGCTTCCATACAAAAGCACTGGACTGCAATCAAGAGGGCGCTATCGTGAAAACCGAGACTCACTCCACCAAGAGCATGGAGACCATCTCTGGGCACTGAAGATGCTTTTCAGTACTAACCAGAACGCAGCAGGAAAACTACAGAAGGAAAGGGCGGCACGTGCGCCGCGCCTCACCACGCACGGCTGTGACCGCCTATTTGCTCGTAGCAGGCAAATTTGGCCAGATGAAATAAATTAAAATACTCAGAAACTACACAAGTCATTTTCGACTTTTTCTTAAAAGCAGCAAAATACCCACCTTTTTTATCCCATTCATTCCCCTCCCTCCATACTGCCATCCCATAAATCTGACTTGGAATCTCCATACATAAAACAGAAAAATGAAGCTGCTCGGGGAGAAAGGCAGTAAGAACAGGGAGTAGGAGGCCCCTGCTCAAATACCAACAAGGGCCTTCCGCTCCGCTCCCTCTCTGTCCCTCCGCTCCCTCTCTGTCCCTCCACTTCCGAATCTTTACTCCTGAGGCACCTCCACATTCTGACTCCAGGAACAAGGACTGAAAGAAACCTCCTCCACAATGGACCTATTTGCTTGGTAATTAAGTTGTAAAATTTAAAGTTATCAAAATGAGCGATTCTTGATTATTTCACATCAACATTTTAAAAAATAGTGCATATTTTTGACAGTCGAATTTTGAAATCCACTGTGGTTTTGGCATCCTCCAATCCCTCAACCCAATCTTGAGTGCCTTCAGGATCCTGCCACATGCCACGTACCCAGAGAGTGAAGTCTGAACGTTTCAGAATCAGGTACAGCTCTCCCACACCCGGGTAACTGGAGTTCCCTTACTTCCAAAATTAGCTCTTCGGTTTTGAATTTACAGCAGAGTTGGGACCACTGTTGCTCAGTAATCACACCCCTACTTACCCCAACATTACCCCCACCACCTTATTCTGTTTGGTTAAAAGCAGGGTTTTCTAAGCTTGCTAAAAAATCATTAGAGTAACCATTTAAATTTTTCATAATTTAACTGATTAAAATTATGAGCAGCTAAACAATGCTTCTGAATGATTTATTTGATAAAATCTTACACTGTAATTAAATTAAAATATAAATTAGGTGCACTTGTCAGAGACTTTGGTTTACAGGAACAGTATATATATATATATATTAAAGGTAAGCTGATCCAGCAAAAATATGAAAATCCCACCTTATCCGCATGCTCTGAGAAGCTATAAAAACGCAGTATTTTGATTTAAGATGAAAAGTAAATCCAAAATACCTGATCATATTGATTCAATATTAAAAAAAAGGTGTTTTTAAAAAAGTCTTTTAAAAGAGGGAGCCCCTGAACACATCTTATCACAGCAAATGAACTACTAAGTTTAGATTAAATGGTTGCAGCATCAGGAATTTGACAACCAGAATTAAATAGCTGTATCCCAGGAAATTTGTGCTTGAAAAATATAAAAAAGACCTACATAGGTTAGGCTGAAACACGTAATGCAAAATATACTGCTCTGTTATAAAAAACATAATTAAACACGTAAATGGCTTAATTTCTTAAAGACAATGATTCTTTTAGCCAATTGTTTACAAAGGCAGAATAATTCAAAATAATTTTATTTTATTTTTTACAAAGAGCAAGTACAGGAGCTGTTTGAAATCATGTGTTCAATCAAAATGAAATGTGACTTGTACCGACTGCTGAAGTTGTCTTGATGTTTGAGAGACCTTGAAATCTGTGAAGTATTTGAATACATTAACTTTTATAAAAATAGTAGTAGTCTTTGTAGTAGAATACTGCCTAACTCTGGAAATGTAGGAAAAGTCAGCATTCTTTAGGTTCAAGATATTAATTTTAAATAGCAGCTGAATGTGGCCTCATGGCAAAGCATAAAGACCTTTTTTTTTTTCCTTGAGAAGGAATTTCAGATCGTCCTTTCCCCTCACAGTGTCCTAAAATTTGAAAAGGGGGGAGGGGGTGTTTTCCTGTATTTCAGCATTCTTTGAAACTCTGCTGAAAGGCTGTCGGCCAGGGGTATAAACAGAGTCCTGGATAAATCCTTGAAGTTTTTCATTCCACAGCAAATCCACATGTTTCTTCAATGGCTGTTAGCAGCTTTTCATATAGCTTTTCATAGCTTTCATAGGGCGGAATGTCTATTCGATTGAAGCTGTGAATAAGCACATCAAAGTTTACACAGTCCATTCGAATCAGTAAACGAGCCTAGCAAGTGTACTGTAAATACAGTCACATCACTCTTCCTATCATAGAGATGAAAAGGTTGTGTATTTCTCTAAACTAGAAATGACTACATTAGGGTTTTCCTATCTATTTCTGAATAATCTCAACTTTTAAATCTCTTAAAAAGAGTTGCTTATCATCCCTTTTAAGGTCTATTTGCCAGTAAAAACAATAAGGGAACATTCTAATCTGTTCAGAACTAACACGTCCATGGACAGGGGAAAGAAGCTACAAAAATTACTTACCAAGTGTGGGCTTTGGGCAGGTTGTTAGTGCAGGCATCAATCTGGTGTATGGTAAAGAGGCGGGGGCCTGCGGCACCTGCAAAGGAGGAAATGTGGGTCACATCACTGCAGGTCCATGCATTAGTCTCCAGAATCTTAGAATAAAACTGGTACATAAACCACAGGTTCTAGAGATAGGGGAGTTCTGATCAACCCACACAGTGCTACCACAGGGCAGCAGGAACAGAACCTGAGTTTTGAAAGCTGGAACCGAACTAGAATAAGGCAGATCCCTTAACAGGGTAGAATTTCAATTGGAGAAAAAGTTCAGTATTGAAATCCTTTTGCTATTATCTTTTAAAGAAAATCAATATCCCAAAAGAATGAGAAGAAGAGTACTTGGGCAAATCCAAAATAAAACTCATATGCCACATAAAAAAGATGACAACCTGATGCAAATGTAGATTTCATGACTCAAGCTGGGCCGAGAGCGAAATACTAGCTGACTATAGACTAGATTTCAGTTAACACAGACACCCCACACAAATATATGCAGGATAAACACGAGGGCATCTGGGCAATGTGAGGACAATGAGCTCCCCACGGGGCGAGTGAGCACAACCCAGATGGCCTTCCCCGACTCTCGGGCATGCTCTGTGGGCAGCACTGCTGAGTTATGTACCAGTCTTGCTTCATGTACCCTCACTCGTCACTAGCAGCAGCACTGTGAAGATGAAGGGCTTGAAAGGTAACAGAAGCAACGGTCCCCCACTCCCACCCCCAGCCAGTGAGGTGCCACAACCATTAGCAATATTACCAAGTCATCCAAAAATTGAACAGCTTCTTCCATGGCAAACCATTCTTAAAAATGGAATGTGGCTGTGAATAAATGGTCCAAGGCCATGCAATAATTAAAGTGATTGACCAAACAGACGGCTTTAACAACCCATGCTGCCTCTTTCTATTAAAAGGAAGAACAGGAAAGTAGAAGGGGGGGGCATCCCAGGAGAGCAAACATTTTGCCAGGTGGAGATGGGAAAAGAGGCGTGGATGACTTCCCTATGGGAATGTGCGACAGAATTAAAAGCAAAGTGAGCAGAAATGAAAGGCAGAGCATGAGCACATATGTCTCTAACATGCGGCACTCACTACAACCACAGAGAACACCGCAGAAAAGGCTCTTGGGAGGGGAACAAGAGAGAGGAAGGAGAAGAAGGTATCACCACGTGAGAGTTACAGTCAAGAAGTCAAGTGAAATGAGTACCTTTGTAATAAGCACATGGTTTGTAAATATATATATATGTAAGCCCTTCACTTGGCACCCTCCCCCTCCTCCACAGCCCAGTGGCTCGGACGCCACTCTGCCCATCTGTCCCACAGACCCCTACCTTGTAACGCCTTGAAGCCCTGCAGAGGCACTCTGGAGGACCCGGTCACAAACTGAAGTAATCGCGCTCGTCGCTCTTCGTCGAAAAACTCCACAGCTTTCCAGAACCACTTGACAACGTTGCTGTCTGGTGTACAGTGTTTTAGCCGGGTGTTTACCTTCCAGTCATTAACATCTATCTTTCCAAGTCCACAAATAATGAGCTGTTAAAATACCAGCTAACATCAGTAATGAGCCAGTGGATCCAAAGCCATGCTCCAAATTCCTCAACCCAGAACTTGAAGTTTGCAGTGCTGGTTCTTGTTCGGTGGGTCTCAATCTAAGGGGCATGTAGGAATCATCTGGAAAGCTTTGCTAAAATGGACACACCAGGTCCTATTGCTCACAGATTTTAATTCTATGCATCTGGGGTAACAAGACCTGTCTTTTTTTTTTTTTTTTTTTTAAAGTTCCAGAGGTCTCTAACTCACTTTAGCTCTCTCCCACACTTCCAGGAGCTGAGAGCCACAGCTGAGAGCTGTGATGGACCTGGCAAGATGAAAGAATTCTGAACAAGGCTACCTAATTTCACCATAGAATTCCAAAATAGCAAAAAATGGGCAGAAATGGACACCCAAAGAGGAAATACAGTTTACATGTACCTTCCTAAACCCACACTGCATGATACTGGTTTCAATACTTACCAGTTTTGTGATATGAAGCAATCCAGTTCGCCTCCCCTAGCCAGTAGCCCTCTGCTATAACACAGCAGTCACCTCTATGTTGCTATCCCATGGAAGCAAACAGCCATGCACAGCAACCCAAGAAATGTGCACTGAAAAAGTGATTAACAGGGCCAGCAGGTGGCACAGTGGTTATGTTGCTGGACTCTCATATGGCCGACGTGGTTTGAGTCCCAGACCTGGTCGCTTCAAATTCATGCTGGGTACGTGTGCATGTGTGCCCAAGATCCCAGGAGGAGAATGGAAGAGAAGGGACTGTGGTGTGGTCATCTCCCCTGGGGGGTGATTTCTCACTTTCTCTCTCACTGTCTCTCTCTCTCCCCCCCGAGCGAGCGCACATGCTGTAAGGCAAAAACCTCTTTTTTTAAAAAAGTGATTACCACCCTTTAGTTAATAATCTTCAATCATATTAAAGCATGGAGAATATGAACACATCTGCTTAGCATCCTGATAGCTAGTCAGTACAGATAACTGTATCAAAATCATTTTGACATTTTTCATACATTTCCTTGGGGTGCAAGACTGACTCATTTTGCTAATCTAATATGTTGATAAAAAGGAATTATGATAATATATAGCATAAAACATAATGTAACACGCAAATCCTAGATTTTATGTAAAACTAATCCTGTTAATCCAGTCTAACTCTAAAATAAATAGTATACATGTATTTCTAAAATGTTTAATGATTTCCTTAGTAGGAGAAACTATATAATAAACTTTAACCCTACCAAGTAAAATCTCTAATGAAGTGTTAGAGGGTTCCAAAAAAGATTACTGAATCAAAGCCAGGATGAACAAGAAAGAGGTTATCCAAATAGGATTATGGATGGATGGATGGATGTGTGTGTGTATGTGTGTATATAAAATATATATACATATAAACATAAATAAATTATTTTTTTGAGAGAGAGATTTTTGCTATAAGGCATGAGCGCTTGCCAGAGAGACAGAGAGATAGAAAGGAGGGGATGGACATGCTGCAATGTCTTTTCCTCCACTCTCCTCTCGAGATTTTGGACACTCATGCACACGTGCCAGGCATGAGTTTTAAGTCGCCGGGTCTGGGACTCAAACCACAGTCGACTATATGGGAGTCCAGTGACATAACTATTACGCCATCTGCTGGTCCTGTGGCTATATTTATAACACAAAAGATACTCTTCCCAGGAACCAGCAGTTAGCCTAATGGCTATGTCACTGGACTCCCATGTAGTCGACCACGGTTCGCATCCCGGACCCGGTGGCTTAAAACTCACGCCAGGCGTGTGTGCATGCATGCCCAAGATACCAAGAGGAGAATGGAGGAGAAGGGACTGCGGTGTGACCATCCCCCCTGGGGGGGTGATTTCTCACTTTCTGTCTCTATGTCTCTCTCTGTCTGCCTGGCGAGCGCACGCACCCTATAGCGAAAATCTCTCCAAAAAAAAAAAAGATACTCTTCCCCCTAAATTATTTTCTTCAGAGGAGTGGCCATTACCAGAGCCAAGTTCCTCAGTCCCTGTAAAAAGAGATGAAGATGTACTATATTTTGACTCCACTGCCATTCGTCTGCTTTCCTCCTCCTTCTGACTACCTGCTTCTGGCCACGTCACTATGAATAACTCAATCACAAAAGAAACGGGGATAGCATGGAGTAGAACCAATCTTTTCAGATTTGTTTGCTAACAGGTCTGTTAACAGAGTTAGTTAGAAAAGAACACTGAAGTTAATGAATAAATCATATTCATTTTTTCCAAGTTTATTTTATGTATTTCTTCCAAAATCATCCCTAGGGGGTGATTTTTCATTTTCTATCTCTCTGTCTCTCCAGCGAGCACGCACGCCCTATACAAAAATTTCTCCAAAAAGAAGAAAGAAAGAAAGAAAGAAAGAAAAGAATCCCAGTCTCTCTGTTATATTAGAAGATGTCACAACATTAATGCACTGACCTCTAACTCCTTCTCGTCGAATGTCTTCAGCAGATGCTGTGGAATTACTTCGTTAAATCCTTTCTGTAGTGCCAGGAACTGCGCCTCAATGCCTCGTAAAAACCTCCAGTTCACATAGAGCCTGCAGAGACGGGGGTGATGCCACAGACCACATGTATTCAGACCTAGTAATCATTACGAAGCTGCACTTCTAGAACATTGCGCTTTACGAGTGCATAGCATTAAGAAGTCAGTCTACGGGCTAGCAGGTGGCATGGTGGTTAAGGTACTGTACTCCCATGTGGCCAACCACAATATGAGTCCCAGACCTGATGGCTTGCATTCTCACTCTTCCTCCCTCTCTCTCTCTCTTTCTCTCTGGCCAAACTGAAGAATAGTAATTGACTTAATTTAATTCATTCAATTTTTAAATTATTTAATTTTATTTATTATCATTTTTCTATAGGACACATGCACTCACCAGAGACGGGGAGTGTGGGAGTGAGAAAGCAAGCCACCAGACCCAGTACTCAAACCATAGTCAGCCATGTGGGGGTCCAGCACCCTAACCACCATACCACCTGCTGGCCCTAATTAACCTTTAAAAAAAAAAGAATTATGTCTACGAGCCAGCAGGTGGCACGGTAGTTAAGGCTCTGGACTCCCACATGGCTGACAGTGGTTTGAATCTCGGACTTGGCAGTTTGAAAATCACACTTGGAGCATGTGGTTGCATCCCCAAAATCCCAAGAGGAGAAGAGATGAGAGGGGACTGCAGTGTGACCATCCCCCAGGGGGGCAATTTCTCCCTTTCCCTCTGTCTGCCCCTCTCTGGCAAGTGCATGACTCTGTTGCAAAAAGCTAAATTAAAAAAAAAAAGAAGAAGAAGCTGCTGCTGCTGCTAGAATGGGCATGTTCACATTCAGTTACATAGCTGTGATCAATTTGCTTTCCAAAAAAGCAATGCCAATTTCACTGCCATGAACAGTGTATGAGACTGATGGGCTCATTTTAAACTAGGACAATTTTAGCCAACACGATCTAGCAACATAATCTATACTAAAAAGTACAGCACGCATTTTTCTCTGTATATATAGAGAAGTTCAAACTCCTAAATTTGACTACCACAGTATTATTTTTAAGTCTGTAGTTACCATAGGCTACATAAACCGAATATTTCAAAATTCCTAATTTTCATTTTATAAACTTAAATGTTTTCTTTTATGTATCTCTTAAACTTACAATGCGCTGTCTCCAAGTGAGTGTGAACTAGAAAGCGTGAAAGCATGTCTGCCTGCCCCTGTGCGAGTGGCACTCCCATGGCCCCTGCCCCAGGCTCCTGGCACTCACACCTTCATCCAGCTCCCCCTCCACACTTACCGTGGGCTGCCCAACTCCCCTAAACTATAAAAACAAAAGTTGTGTTGGCTAGAACCAGGCTTGGGTCTCAAAAGGATCTGGTAGCTTCTGCTTTTGTGCTGCAGAAGCCAGCGCCCCCATGAGAAGTCTAGCTGGGGGTGAGGGAGACATCATGGAAGAGGCAGAGTACCACAGGGGGTGAGCCAAGGAACCCAGCCAGTAGTGAACTAGACCTCAGACAGTGAACCCGGCAGAGAGCCGTCCTAGCCGGCCCACAGCCACTGGGGCCAGCCTAGCTGAAAGGCGGCACATGTGTGAGTGAAGAGACCACCTTGCTGCTTCAGTCCTAGGTAATACTTCATGAAATAGCAGTGTACTATTCCTGTCATTCTGTGCCCAAATTCCTGACCCTTGGAATTGTGAAAAGTAATGAATGTTTTTTGTTTGTTTGTTTTTAGAGAGAGATTTTTGCTAAAGGGTGCATGTGCTCACCAGAGAGACAGAAAGTGAGAAATCACCCCCCCGGGGAGGTGGGGGAAAGCCACACCCCTGTCCCTTCTCCTCCATTCTCCTCTCGGGATCTTGGGCACACACACACATACCCGGTGTGAGGTTTAAGCTGATGGTTCTCGGACTCGAACAATGGTCGACTATGTGGGAGTCCAGCGATGTAACCATTATACCATCTGCTGGTCCCATGAACGGTTGCTTTTAAGTAATCAGGTTCTAAGGAACCCTATTTTGTAGCAATAATACTGGCTAAATGCCATACTGCCATTCTAGAACATTAAAAATGTCTCAGTCTTGAGAACATAAAAGTATTTACCTGACATATTCTTTTTTATTTTCTTCAGTAACAGGAATACTTTTGCCATTTGGTTTAAGTTCATGCTGAATAATTTCACCATATGCATTATGTTCAACACAGAAGGTATGGTCCAAAACACCTGTAATATCATTTTCACTAGAGAGGAGAAAGAGAAAGAGACATAACTGGCCAACCTAAAATACAGATCCTATAGGTGTATTAACTGGTGACACAGGTAAAATTAAGGTATCTTTATGCTATGACGAATATAAAGTCAGATTCCTCTTACTAGTATTCATGCCACTTCACCACCTAGATCTTGGGCAGAAAAGTCAAAGAGCTTTTCTTTGACAGGAGACATTTCACTGCTAAGTAATGAGAATGGCCCTAGTCAAAGCTGAGTTCTGCTAGAACTACCAACACATGAACATGCAATTCTGTTTGGCATTCAGATAAGAGGGTTACTGAGGGGCTGGCAGGTGGCATGGGGGTTGAGGGTGCTGGACTCCTAGCTGGCCAATCGTGGTTTGAGTCCCGGACTTGGCAGCTTGCCTTCTCACTTTTTCTATCTCTCTCTCTCTCTGTCCCTCTCTGGTCAAATCAAAATAAATAAATAAAATAAATAATAATTTTTTAAACAGTTAAATAAAACAATTCTTTTAAAAAGAAAAAAAAAAAAAAAAAAGAGGGTTACTGAATCTGAGTACCCCCAAGGGACCAAACACCTGAATATCCTCTCTGAGAAAGCTACTTGTGTATTTTATATAAAATAAGTACTACAATATTTAAAATAAGTAAACTGCCAGTGTATTTTCACAAACTAACAACCACTTGCAAAACAGAATTTAGTTCTTACTTTAAAAGTATGGTTCCCACAATCACCATTTCATTAAAAGCAATGACAGCAGAAATTTGCTATTCTAACATATGTAATGTTGGAAAAGAACTTGCAATACACTGAGGAAATAATTATACACAGTACTTTAAAAACAGCATGTACTAGATCCATCTTCCTTTCTAAAGTAGTCACACTCACTAACTTCAAGGAATTTGAAATTTGTAGGAAAGGAGCAGAAAGGGAAAAGGTCTTATATATGGTCCTACAACTTGGATAACAACTTGTGATGTTTTCGCGCATATTTAACTTCTCAAGTTTTTATTTTCTTTTTTTAAAGAGAAAGAGAGAAGCAACATCAACAAGGATCTCACAAAGTGTGTGATTTCCCCAACCCAAGCCCAGCACGTACAGGTCGACACCAGGAAACAAACACCAACCACCCACGTGGCCTCCTGCATTCTGAAGTATTGAGCTACCGCTATGCCACCATGGATTGGCCCCATAGTTTTTGTGCCTTTCTTTTTTAATTTTTGAAAAATGTGTATCAGTTTTGAAACATTTCTTTTTTTAAAAAAGCTCAGACTAACTACATGAACAGATATAAGTTGATACATACAGTATCCACACTAAACTGTTATGAAGGTCTGGATCAACCAACTCCATGTCATCCAAAGTAATTGACTTCCCGAGCAACTGCTTGTAAAAAGGCAACGTAAAGGAAAGGAGCAGAAAGGGAAAAGGTCTTATATATGGTCCTACAACTTGGATAACAACTTGTGATGTTTTCGCGCATATTTAACTTCTCAAGTTTTTATTTTCTTTTTTTAAAGAGAAAGAGAGAGAAGCAACATCAACAAGGATCTCACAAAGTGTGTGATTTCCCCAACCCAAGCCCAACATGTACAGGTCGACACCAGGAAACAAACACCAACCACCCACGTGGCCTCCTGCATTCTGAAGTATTGAGCTACCGCTATGCCACCATGGATTGGCCCTATAGTTTTTGTGCCTTTCTTTTTTAATTTTTGAAAAATGTGTATCAGTTTTGAAACATTTCTTTTTTTAAAAAAGCTCAGACTAACTACATGAACAGATATAAGTTGATACATACAGTATCCACACTAAACTGTTATGAAGGTCTGGATCAACCAACTCCATGTCATCCAAAGTAATTGACTTCCCGAGCAACTGCTTGTAAAAAGGCAACGTAAAACCACCATCAATATAATGTCCGTGAAACACAGCCATTCCCATTATCCGTCCAACAAAGTGGAAATATGATAAATGTTCCTGGAATTGAAGAGAATTTACATGAACACTCAAGTTAGAAAGTATCCTGGGATATTTTTAATAAAAATGAAATATTAAAGCAAATTAATCTTTTTGATAAGAAGCATAAAATTTTTATTCTACAACTATTTAAATGGGAGAGGTTATCATATCAAAGCTCAATAATCATCAGGGAGTGTCTCTACAGGGCACGCTCAAGATTCTCTACATCACTAAGAAATCACATTTTACAAAGAGTCGATGTCTCTCTCAAAGGGGTACAGTAGTCATTCTGTAAACTGTACGTTTTTGAAAATAAGTCCAAACTATCGTGCCACTGCAGTTTCACTGTATATCCATAGACCTGTTTGCTATCTCTCACCTCCTGCAGAATCCTCTGTCACAGAAAATAAATTTCAGGCCTACAACTTCCTCCTTCCTCAACCCAGCCAGAAACTGAACTTGATAACACCACAGATTTAAGGGAAGGGATTTGGTGTCAGACTTGAATTAACATTGCCATGATTTTGCTGGTGTGGTGGTTAAGACAGCTAGAGTACCACATGCCTCACCACAGTTCGAGTCTCAGATTCAGTGGCTTAAAAATCACGAGGGGGTCAGGAGGTCTGCAGGTGGCATAGTGGTTAAGGGCGCTGGACTCTCACATGGCCTACTGCAGTTCAAGTCCCGGACCTGGCGGCTTGCTTTCTCACCTTCTCTCCCCACCCCCATCCTGTCACTCTGAATGAATGAATAAATGAATGAATAAAGTTAAATAAAACAATTCTTTAAAAAAAAAATCATGCCAGGCATATATGCATGAGTGCCCAAGATCCTGAGAGGAGAATGGAGAAGGGACTGCAGTGTGGCCATCCCCCCTGAGGGGGTGATTGCTCATTTTCCCTCTCTGTCTCTCTGCTCTCTGGTGAGCACATGTACCCTATGGAGGAAAAAAAAAAAAACTTAAAGTAATACATGTTCACTATGAAGTATTTAAATAAAATGCAGACGAGCAAGGGAAGAAAATGAAAACTACCCATTTTCTAATACCCAGCGATCGTTGTTGATATTATAATGCAGGGCCTTCAAGGCCTACCTGTATACATGTTTCCCAAAAGTGTATTATACTGTTTTCTTTTCTTTTTTTGGAGAGGTTTTTGCTATAGGGCGTGTGTGCTCGCCAGACAGACAGAGAGAGATATAGAGACAGAAAGCGAGACATCACCCCCCCCAGGGGGAGATGGCCACGTCGCAATCCCTTCTCCTCCATTCTCCTCTCAGGATCTTGGGCACACGCGCCTGGCGTGAGTTTAAGTCACCAGGACCGGGACTCAAACTGCAGTCGGCTATATGGGAGTCCAGCGACATAGCCATTACGCTAACTGCTGGTCCCTCTTATTATACTATTTTCTAACCTTATCACCGAACATATCATGAACACCATCTTCACATGCCATCAACCCCTTACCCACATAATCACTGTAAAGGCCATAAAGCATGCCCTTGTA